CACTGTATTGTATTGAAAAATGGTTATGCGGCCCGCGCTCGTCATTCTCTCAGTTATCTAGCCCGCGGTGAAAAAAAGTTTGGTGACCCCTGCATTAGAGGCAACTGCCTGCAATCTGGAAATGGTAACATTAGTTGTGGACTTGAACTCTTATACCTCTTGAATTTAAATTTAATTTTACTGAATATGCGACGTTTTCTGTTTTTGGGCCAAGCTGTTTAAAATTAGACAGAAAAATATATATGTATGCATGTACTCATATATATATATATATATATATACATATAATCTCAATTTCATTAAGTTAAATTGAATTATATCTTGTGAAATAGACTTTTAATATGCGATGTATCCCGTTGTGTTACAATTCCTACTTCTGCACCTTACAGGGGAAATTTCGTATGTCTCTCGTATTTTCTTTCCATGTTTGTGTTAAATATCAATAATTACTTCCTAAATGTACCTGTGTATCTCCTAAGACTCTGAGAAACACTAATTTCCACATTTATCGACATTTGTGTTAATATCATGCACAGCGTCACTAAAATTATTTGTGAACTTCAGTACAAAAAGATTCAAACACAATCTCATGCAAAAATTCTAATACATAAAAATGTAAAATACAAAGTGTACACAAATACCAAAGCTCACCTCTTGATTTTTGTGATACGTATTCTGGTTGACTACCCTCTAACGACTCGCCACGACAACATATTAGATGCACCTGATATATGAGAGAAAAATCATTTTGATAAAATTTTAGTACTAAATTAATTAGAATAGTCCAATAGTTGGCACTGAGTGCTGTTAACTAGCTGCCTTCACTCCACTCAGTAAGTTCAAAATTAGGGACTGCTGGAGTAGAAATCCTTGTGTAACGTTGCGCAAATGTCCGAAACAAACAAACACAACTAAACTTTAAAGACGATAGTATTGTTAGATGTTCACTACTTTTTGAGACTTGTTTATGGCACATATACCAGTTCACGTTAAAACGCATATATATATATAGAATTATGGTATGTTTGTTTAATTGTATCAACATATGCATATCATAAAATATCACAAAACATATCTACACTGTGTTGTTCCAAAGGTATATTACTTTTAGGCAACGATAGGAGTTCCTTCCTTCCAGGACCGAGCTAACCAACAAAAATATACTACACAGTTAACAAATTTGAAGCCGAAACGTCGTCCCACTATAGAAACAGTCAGGAGCTAATTTCTCTCTAATATTTACATAATGTCCGATCAGTGGTTTTCTTCTTCATACAAAGGATTTTGCCGCTTTCAAGAACTAGAGCATTTTATAAATGGAAAGAGGTCATCCTATCTTCATGTCAAAAGCTACAGGAAACTACCAGATCCATTTGAAAACTGAACAGTTTAGGGCCAGTAAATGAGCAAATATGTTGTTTTGTTAATCACATATTTTCTTAATGGTTTAATACTTACATTGTCTATATTTATTAATGTTGGTAACTGCCAAGAGTTACTTTATTGTTAGTTATGGAAGTTTACTTTTCATGTACCATTGTTTATTTTGTGTAAGAGGATTATTCAAGGGGTGTCACAATCCAGTAAGAGGGCAATGTTGTAGACCGTTTGTTTTTAGACAGTTGTATTGTTTTTAGCTAGAGAGAATTTTTAACATAACCTAATGAGTGTGTGGCTTAACGACTAGAATGTTCTTGAAAGTTTATGTAATTATTTGAACGATATAAAACGCGATTTAAACGAGCTTAGATTAGATTGTGATTGATTTAGTGAGTTTTTTACATTAGTTGGATTGATTGAGTTAACGGTTCGTGATTTCTTCAGTTTTGTCAATACTGAGACTGTATTTCAACGAAGTACCAGAGATACAAGAAGTACCCTGGATGTACGAGAAAATTAACAAGTGACTGTTTAGCATTATTTATGAAGTTAAAAGCTTATCGTTAGTTTGTTAAAGCGGGTAACTTGTAGAATTTGTAGTCAAAGAAATAAAACACTTTCGTTATTATTATTAAGTGAACTGTACTTTGTGCATTATTTCTTTCACTTTTTTACCGATAAACTTAAAAGAACCCACTAAACGACAGAAACAAGTGCAATAACATTTCACATTAGAGTTCATATCCTTTTATACATTTCCTATGGCTTCTTCAACCTTAGTGTTATAATACTTCCGTACTTTATTGATGTTTTATCTTACTTCCTTTTTTAGTTAATTGATGTCATTTCTTATTTCCCATTTTACCCCGTTGATGTCTTGTTATACTTCTTCAGTTTTGTTATAATCCTACTATACATTTTTATGGTTAGTTAGTTATGAATTCCGCGCAAAGCTACACGAGGCTTAACTTCCTATCACTTTCTTCTTGATCTTCTTTTAATATGACCATAACGTTAAGGACAAAGATGTGATTCATTATCGTCAAATTATGAACTTTGAACTCGAATTCTTATCTTAATATTCTGTTATCTTCTTGTTGTTCGTCTTTCCACTGTTTTATCATTTTCAGTAAATTTTGATGTCGCTTCGACACATCCTGTCATCTTAAAGTACAGTTTATTTTCTGTCTTACTTTTACCCCAATAATACTACACATGGCACCAGTGTTATAACGGTTTCTATTGTTGGACGAGTTGTTTCGATTATTTGGTAGAAAGAGGAATCCACTAATGATAACGAAGACATTTTATTTCTTGAACTTCAATTTCTACAAGTTAGCTTAACAAATGTTTGCTGACTGACTTGATATCAAAGCCACTAATATAACAATTCACTCAATAATTTATGGTATCTTTTCGTTTCAATTTGTTTTTCGTCGAAACACAAGCTCAATTTTCACAAAACTGAATTGACTAACTGGCTGATAATAAAAGACAAAATGATTAACAAACTCGCTATCTCGATAATAAATCATCCACTCTAACACTCACAAATCAATACTATATTCTAGTCTAATTCTCCTTTTTATAATCATTTCATAAACTTTCAAGCCACACCCATCCAATGACGTAAAAACCCCTCTAACCAAATCACAATACAAACGTTTAACTTAAAATACAGCCTATAAAAGTATATTTTTATCTTTATAACTACTTGTTTCACATTACTTCAAGAATGTCGTCTATATATGTATATTATACCCCATATTGTTTAGATACCCTCCAAGATACTTTCTAAATATATGTATAAACTTTATGCAATCACTTATTAATCAGGCTGTTGTTGGCGATTTTTAGTTCAAAACTACAAAACGAGCTATTTGCGCTCTTTCCACCACGAAGACTGGTTTGGTTTGTTATGAATTTCGCGCAAAGATACACGAGGGCTATCTGCGCTAGCCATCCCTAATTTAGCAGTGAAAGACTAGAGGGAAGGCAGCTAGTCATCATCACCCACCGCCAACTCTTGGGCTACTTTTTTATCAACGAATAGTGGGATTGACCGTCACATAATAACGCCCCCACGGCTGAAAGGGCCAACATGTTTGGTGGGACGGGGATTCGATCGCCCTAACCACCTGGCCAAGCTGGGCCACCACCACCAAGAATCGAGTCCCGGATTTCAGCGTTGTAAGTCCGGAAAAATACCGCTGATCCGTCAGAGGACATTAATGAAGCAACTCCAACAAATATATATTAAATTATCATTAATAACAATGCACAAGACTTAATAATTGTGTTTATCCAAATCCTTATGAAATTACCAATTGATTGTACTCACCACTACTTGTTACCAATTCTATAAAGATGTATTTTTTTTATCAATTTTGAAAGATAAGTAATATTTAGTTGAACTTACAACTTTGCGTATACTACAATTAATTTTCCATTCAACAACACAAATAAATATTTATGTCTTAATACATATATATTAACTTACATTAATATTCCCTTAAATCTTTCTAATTTTGGTAAATAGTTCTCTGTTTAAAATTTATAACTTAAAGAATAATATTGAGCAAAAGAAATATATGACGTTTTTGTTTAAATAGTTAACAGATGATAAGCATGGGTCTGGTTAGCATTTTTTTGTTTTTCTTTGTTGTTGTTTTTGTGAGATGATAGACAGACACGTATTTCTTCACAAACCTCACTCAAGTAATAAAGTTACTAGTGGTAAAACAAAGAAGACGTAGGAAATTACTTACCGATAAAAATGTTAGGCCTAACGTAACAAAGCGAAAACGCATCATCATCATGTAAAAGAACATAAATACGTCTATCTAGCATACAGGTTTCAAACAACACGGGCCGTCGACAGTAAAACGATGAGAAGCCAAGCTTGGTAATTTACTTTTAACCAATCAGTGTGAACTTGGTGGCCATCATCTCGCCTACACAAAGTCGTGTCATCAATGAGATTGTCAGCTTGCAATAAAATTATGTTTTCGCTGTCGGAAATATATGAATATATACATTTTCTGGTAAGTTTTAAAATAAAATCATAGGGCAATGACACATCAAACGCCACAATATGCAAATTCTAATAATTCGAAGAAATTGCGCACAAGTATATTATATATTTAAGGAAATTATATATATACTTTAACGTAAAGCGATTCGTCATTATCTGCCACGGGCAAGTACAATTAATTGGTGAATAGATTGTACTTTCTATTTACTTGACCCGGCATGACCAGGTGGTTAGGGCGCTCGACTCGCAATCTGTGGGTCGCGGG